TCTGTGAAAACTTTATAATTTTGTTCCATGTGTCTTTTACTTGACAGAAGATTAACATTTATTTGTTATGATTATCACATATTTCCTGATAATGAATGAGTATTTTTACTTTGGTTTCAAAAGTCCCCTTTGCCCGCAGAAATTTTCGTGCTCAATCAATTTTACACTGATAGATACTAGAACGAATGAGCATAAGGTAAGTAACCGCAGGTGCGAAACGCATAATTATTCTCTATTATTATTCTTTTCTATCTGTCAAAGCAAGAGAAGTGAAGAACATTGAAGACAGTGAATAACTCGGACATGTAACGCCACTTTTGTAAGCAGCATTCATCTCGTACAGTTCCAGAAGACAACATTCTTATAAATAAATTTTAATAACAAGAAATGCCACGTGCCTGTCCCATTTGATGCTAAATATGTCGAAAATTTTGAAGAAAAAAAAACATTAAAAGTGACTCTTTTAAAATGTCTGCAGTCAAACTTGGCCTCTCTCTTCCATACTTACTCGTTCGAGTGTGAATTGTTGTTAGAGTAGAAGAGATGCTTTTCGCAGTGGACTCAGTTTAGATGTTCTTTTATCAAATCCATAAATATCTTCTTCTAGTTTTTTGTTTGCATTTTCACACCTTTTTTTTTGAGGGTAAACATCGTAATCAATTACGTAACATCGGCGAAAAAATCTTCCAGCTGAAAGAATGTGCCGGAGCAAATATTCATCTACCCAAATAATTGGGAATATTATCTTCAAGTAGTAGGAAATAAAACTGTATTTTTTAATTATCGATTAAAGTCTATTGTTGTGGTAATGACCCATAAACAATCACATATACATATGCTTCTTTGCTCTTGGAATTGGTTTCTTTCATTCAAAATCACTGGTGTAACAAAGTCCAGGAGTTTGATTAGAAATGCGTTTACAGTAGGGTGTATCGATTTTTAACATCGTGCAAAATCAAAAACCCTGGGTGCGCCGTTCATTTTGGCACCTAAAAAGGAGAAACTTTTGTTCACGAACATATGCCGAAAAGTCGATTCCCACTATCCGCCGAATTTTTTTTTGTCTGGTTCATTTTTTAAGGATTTTTTTTCAGAATCTCAGAAAAAAATTGAGGATTTTTTTTTGTTGAAATATTTCGAAAAATAGTCACTTTTCGTGAACACAAACTACCATGTTTGGATTTGTGGTGAAAAATTACATAAAAATAAAAGTCGATTTGAAACCTTTCCAACGCGGTTTGGTCGCTTTCTTGGGTCAAAAATTGACCAAGTATATCCATAAGTCTTACCGTTTTTGAAAAATAGAGAGAAAAACGTAATGAGTATGTATCGATTCGATACTATCGAAAATGACCGAAGACACGGACAAAGGTTGTGGCATTTAATCAACGGCATATTCGTACTACACATAGCGTTACACATATATCGATTGTTAAGAGTCAGTCCCCATAAGAATCAATATACAATCTGTGAAATGCAATCACATGATGGTTTTAATTTGTTTTCTCAATAAACTTAACTACTGTGGAGATGAGTGGAGTTGTGGGGAGATCGGGTAAAGCAGCAGACAACACAAGCGTAGATATTTCGTTGTGCGCGTGTAATGATTTCAACACACATGTGCTACACATGGTTCACGTTGTTGTAGTTGTTGCTGCTTGTTCTTTTTCTTCAGAATCACATTTGCTTGTTCATTTAGTCCATTTGTAATTTGTAAACCGGAATTGAACAAATATGCTCAATTCCATTTCTATTTAATCCATTATTTTTTATCCACTGTTGATTTACTAATATTGACAACTAGTTTTAAAAAAAATCGCATTGTTTACGGTGGATAAATAATCGAAAGTGGATTAAAGCGACACTTTGTAAGAATTGGCGTGCAGAAAAAGAAGTATGAATCATAAGTGAAATTTTTTTTCGAATCAATCGGCTTTGTAAGTATTTTGGAATTGTCATCGACGAAACTAAAACAAATCACTTAAGTTGTTTCCAAAAATAGGTCCGTCGAATTGGGTCAGTTCATTTACAAGCGGTAAAAATGCGCGAATTGTGTTCACTCGCATTGATTTTCATAATGCTACGCATTTCAAACAATCATTGTATTGTGTCTTCTGGTATTTGCACTTGCCTTACCTATATATACATGTTAACGGTAAAACATTCAAATGTAAACAACAATGGGCCGTAGAGCGTTTATGTTTGAACCGCATTTTGTCGTCTCAGAAGTGCGCGACGTATTTAATTGTATTCGTTCATTCTTTTTCTACATTACGATTTGGAGTAATTGTTTCTTTTTTTCTGGTGTGTAAATATACATATATCGTCAAAATGGAAAGTGATGCAGTGATTCGAAAGTGTCGGTAAACTTGTTACAATTTTTTCATGAATCACCCGGTAGACAATGGAATGAGCAGGTTTTTAGATTATCACTAGAATAGGAACCGTACTGTTTTCAGAGAAAAAACATATTAATCGGTTCTTGGCATAATTTTATTGTATTTGCTCATAATAGCATAACAAGAATAGAACATCAATTCTTTTCGCATTGCGAAATTTTTTGCGGTTTTTTCTGTGAAAATGAGCCCAGTGAATTCAACAACAACAAGAATACAATTTTAAAGATCATTTACCTTTCGGAGTCTGGCCTGTTTCCGAATCTGTTTTTCAACCTCTAGTGATTCTTCTCCAAGCAACTCCAAAGCCAACTTGTTTCAACTCACCTTTCTAAGTCTCTTACATTGATGAAATTGATTGACTTTGAATTCAAATCACATTTTACTGAATAAAATTTCTACAGGGTTTACCTCTACTTCCATCAGCCCATATCTTTTTACCTCCATCAGCCCAGTGAATACATTCAAATAATATCTGTTCCTCAGCGTTATCTCCTAATTAGCTGCAGCTATTTCGATTTTGTGCCTAAAATTCCAATAAAAACGCTTCTTCAAGGGTTCAAAATTTGTGACACATTTTAATTGGCAGCAAAGGTTATAATTTTATTTTTGGAATTTTAGTGTCAAAATTAAAATAACTGCAGCTAATTGGGAGATAACGTTTCGTTTTGTGAAGTTACTTCATTTCCGTGGATTTTGCTCCCGATCCATACACATCCATGTTCACATACACACACACACCAGTTCATCAGGGTGTGATATTTTTTACAAAAATAGCACGAGTTAACATGTGATTGATTTGTTCAACAGTGATGAGTGATAATAATGGATATATTTTATTTTGGATGTTGTTCCAATATTCTGCATGGCCTTCTGATGGTCTTTGAATTTAACTTCGGTCTCTATAAATTGATTAAAGGCGATAAATGACTGTTCTCACAATACAAACACAATTCAAATTGTTAATGAATTTGAATAGAAAAGATGAGATGGAAAAATTGACACTTCGCTGACTGGGAACATTGAAATGACAATGACAAGGTCTTTTTTTATCATGTATTTTAAATGACACCAACTCGTACAAATTTCACTTAGCACTTTCCATTTTGCAGTTGTTGATGCAAAGAAGAATACGCTTCACCTAAGTTAGGTGACCTAACAAGCAAAGGCTGAACAATGAAAGTGACTTATTACAGCTAATTAATCACAATTGGAAACGTTTTTATACAGCTCAACAAAAATAAGTTGGGCATTTGAAATGCTCATATGATTCAATGTTGCGCGCAAATATATGTGGCGGTGGCGGTATGCTCAACTTTAAGAATTACGATAAATTTAAAATAATCAAATGTATGTTCGAATAACAGCGGATTAATGTGACGATATGGTCTTTTTAACACATTATTTACCAAGCATTCGATTTTCCATACGAAATGTTCAATTTTTTCAAACACTTGGCAGTTAATGTGTCAATAAAGTACTGGATCTTTAGAATATGAAGATCAAAATCTCAAATCTACAAACAAAACACATGCTTTGGACTATCAATTGGACAAAACGGCCTTCTTTAATTGTTTTTTTTTCTATTTTGAATACTTGTTTTGAGGTGGATTCGTATTTGAAGTCAATGCTTCGTCCTTGGTAATAGTAGTTTTTAGTCTAAAATTGAACGGATTGAGGAAAAGATAACCAATGAAGAAGCAAGTGATGCTAAGAATCGTAAATCGTATCTTGATTAATATCAAGTGCACGTTTGAACCGTTGCGACAAAGAAATTCCCCCAGAATGTTTTAAGTTTTAAAGTGCATTTGTTTCTTAAATTCTCAAATTCATTTGAAACTTTAGTGGATATGCCCGTTTTCAAATAAGCAAGATATTCATTAATTTGTTGGAATTTAAGTAGAATTGACTTATGCGCAAAAGATCCACTTCATTTATTTCGTCTCACGCGACTATTTATAATATTATTATTTGAGACGATACGTCTCTTTCGTTGCATAGTGAAATAAAATCACGCTCGTATTGAGGCAAGTCATATTTACACAGTCGACCATTGTGTATTGTGCAACCGTATTGAAACTCTCGTTTAGCGAGTGACTTGTGTCAGTCTAAATGTTTGGTTGTCGAGTAGTTACGTGCTCGATTCAAAATTCAAACAATACACAGACATATGCGTTGCCAGTCTATTTGGAGAAATTTCGCGATACAACCACACATGTGCAGCACAGCGAATCGACCAGTATGATACAGTATAACGTTTTTTTTTCTTCAATTTATAACATTGTTTTGAATAAAACGGGACATAAACGGTGCAAAATTGAAACGATTGAATTTCATTTGAACAAGAAAAATGAACAACGATTCAAATTTAACGAATAAATTATTAACGAAAATGCTCATGAGGACGTAGATACAGTTAAGTGTGGCGTCTTCAAATGCATAATTTGTGTGTGTGTGTATAGATGAAGCCGACCGGTGGCGGCAAACATAGCCGGTGTGCATGTAAGCTAATCCGATACTTGAACGATGTGTAAAGCGAATCACACATATGAACAGCGTGAGTCACACACTCCGTATAATAGCATCAACAACTTGAATAACAGCAACGATTTGAATAGCAGCAATAGCGGCAGAAACAGCAAGTAGGAAACCGCGACAACAACGGCCCATTCACATATTATTTAGCAATCAACCGACAGAATTTTCTCCAGTTTACCAAAGCATGTTGACGAGTGCGGTTGAAATAAAAATCTGCCCATTCTATACCACAACAATACCAATTTCTTTAACGTGTGAATATCGTTTGGTCGTGCTTTAAATATTTTAGATTTGTTAATTGAAAGCAAGTTTTCGAAACCGCAGTGCAATGATTTAAAAATATATCGCTATATTTCATTTGGAATGGTTAAGAAATAGCATTTTGAACATTTTCGATGCAAATACATTGAACTGAACGCTGAATCGCTTAATTTTTTTTTTATTTCAATTTCTTTTCGCGTGCTGCTAAAGAGTTACCAATTTTTTTTTTGTTCTCTCAATTTCCGAATCAAGAATATCTCAAGTCAAGTGACACAGATCAAAAGAATACACAGAGACACAGCTTCTTGAAGTGTGCTAGCAAAGATCAAGTAAAAAAAAAACATGTGAATCTAACCGAGTATGCGAAGCATTCATAATCTGTACATATAATCATCGAATGAATGATGTTTAATGAATAGTAATTTGTAGTGATTATATCATTGCTATCTCTCGTCGGTTTGTTTTTTTTTCGTGGTATTTTGTTAAATACGTTTAAAATTTATTCAGTGTTGCAAACTCTTGCTATCGTAGTGTCGAATGTGCAAACTGACAAAGTGCTCTTAAATAGAACAATTAAGTAAATAGCATAAGTGTTGGTTTTATAACGTAAAAAAATCATATCAGGTCAATCGAAAAGGAAAATGGCCAAATTACAGAAAACGACCACATCTTTAATCGGTTTAATAGCAGGTATGAATTATTGACAATTGTATCCGTTTTCCATTGTGAAAGTGAACCGTCTTCAAAATCCTTGTGCCATTTTAAATTAAACGTTTGTGATAAGTGATTTGTTCCGTTATATGGCTAACGTATGGAATTTGGGTTAACCACATTTTTCTGTTGCCTTGCTGGTGACAATTCACATAGGCTATCTATGTTTTATTAATGAACAAAACTTTATTTCGATTTTATTTACCCGATCAATTCAAATTTTGCCCACTGAGAGCTCGTTGCAATTGTTCGCAGTTTCAAAGGAGTCAAACTAAAAAAAATACGTTAAATTTGAAAAGCAAAACGCCGAAAAAAAAATCCGAAAACCAAAACTTAATTTTGCTGTTTCGGCCTTTTAATTTTCTTCGTTTTATTGGGTAAATTATCAACGGAATATCAAATGCCAATTGACAATAGCGCATTATCGTTATACAAACAAGATTCAACAATCGACATGATTTACCGAGAGCTTCTGATTCAATCGAAACAAATGCACTTGTGAAAAATAGCGCTAAGAATAAAAACAATTTGAAGGAATAATCAAAATTTTATCAAATGTTTATATTGAAAAAATAACTGTAGCGACGAAAATTCAATGAACAAGCAACTGATTTTAATGTCATTGCCACAATGTTGCTCTTTCTGCCGTTATCGTCTTGCAAATCAAGAATTTTAAAATGGAATACCGTGGCCCGTGGCCACTAATTTTTTTTCTCGTGGTCACAAGTGGCCAATAGTTTGAACAGCACTGTATTGAAACCATCAAATACTATTTTCTCGTCAAATGTGAACTTGAACGTTAAATCTTTGAATAGAATGCCTCATTAGTGTTGGATTCAAACGTTCGTTCGAAAATTTTGGCTTGTTCGACCGTTCGGTTTTTTTTACATCTAAAATACATAAGAAGCACATTGGATTTTGAATTCTTAGAGCAAGACTGAATGTACTGACTTTGTCTTGGAAGAGGAATCTTCCTTCGACATCGCAATGGCCAAAAATCATTTTTCGGCGGTTTATCACGATGTTTCGCTATTTTCTCGAAAATGATAAGAGATAATGAATTAATGACTTCGACAAAGTTGTAGCACTCAACATCCTTTATAACTTTGTTGCATGTGACTATTCCTTATGTTCTATCCGTCAAAGATTTGCTTATCAGTTTTATATAAAAAGAACCGGAAATATGGCGAAAAAACGCGATAAGTCGCCAAAAATGAACATTTTTATCAATGACTATAATGCAGTCGAAAGAAGAGTCAGTTAGTGAAACACACTCTACTTTCAGTCTTGCCCAAAATTTAATTTGTTTTTTATGCATTTTTAATGTAAAAGAACGAAACGGTTGAACAAGCCAACATTTCCGAACGAACCAAATTTTTATTTCAATGTTGTCGAATGCTCGAACAAGTGTTGGACGGCCAATACTATTTCTCATATATGCATAACATACTGTTTGGCTGCATATTCTACTTCGATTTTCACATCATTTATATATTTCAATGAAAAGTTGGCTTTTCCGACAAAATTCTAAAAATATACTTTGCAGGTACTTTATGATGGTTTCAGTTTCATAATATGGATTCAATGAGAATGTCTACAATATTTTGCATTATACATCGAATTTGGGTAGTTCTGATTTAGACTCATTTATGATATATCATGATTACCTATAGGTAATTAAAACAATTTAATAATGAACTCAACACATTGAAGTTCAACGCGGAATTAAACGAGAATTCATTAAACACGACAAAGAGAATTGTTTAAACGAATTTAAGTAAAAAAAAAAATCGTTTTTTGATCGAAAAGGGGTATTTTTTTTCTATTGAAAAAGTGAATATTTAATGGCAACAAATTTAAATTCGACATATTCATCCATAGACCGGCGACAAGATTTAGCCATGACGAACGGCATATGCAGTCACCATATGTGTTCATGTTTGTCTTTTTGATTGAAACTTGCATTTATCTATGCATTATTAACTCGAGACACTGCAAACGGTTTTTTACAAGCGATTTTAATGAGTCTGGCTGGCATGTGTATTCATTCGATTCATTTGAATCCATTTGTCACAGTGCATGCAATTGGAAATAAGAAAACAAATTGCACCATTATTTGTTGAACTCAAATTATTTTCTATCCTCAGTTCATGCAATCATTTTTTTTTCCAACCATACTCAACGACTACTTCCAATCAATACAATTTGCAGTTTCATTATTTACACGATTCGATGCGGCAAGAATGTGGCCAAAATAGAATAAAAAATCATATTCATACATCAAGTTTTTACTGTGTCTGCAATTGCCGCCTCACACACATACATACACTCACACCCACACACTGACGTTTTTTTTTTTCACGGAAACCAACGAAAAAAAAACAACAACCTCAACAGCCTTGATATTGGCCTATCCATTTCATTGATTTAGTTATTGTACACAAAGTTTACAAATTGTGCGCAAGAGTAAATAATAGTATCTATGTTTTATATTTCGTTCCACACTCGTATGGTTCGAACAATAATTTTGACGTCAATCCAGCTTTCTCCCCATACCGGGCTTTGTTGTTGTGCTGTCAAATCAGTGTTTTTCTCTTGTGATTTTTAACCAATTTGATAAAACACCTTGATACAGCCGACAAATTGTGGAATTCTTTTTAATTTAGCATCATTTTGTGATCAAATTTGTTTTGTTAATGTTTTTTCGATCTCGTGATAATTTGATGGATCCGGCCACGGGCCACAACATATTAATAGCTAATAACCATGTTTTGGTTTCAGAAAATTTGTTTAGAATAAAAAAAATTTCTCCAGAGCCATCTTATAGCCATATCAATAGAATTCCACCGTTTGATATATTCACACTGATAATTAACGTATGGTTCACAGAGACTGATTGCATTTGATCAAATATATATTTTGCTTTGATTCATCTTGTGCCGTGGATTGAATAAAGTGGAAATAAAAAGTAACTTGTTGACAATTGAAAATAGTCGGGGGTTTTCAATCCCGAACACAACTCATTTTGTTTTTATTTCCACAAATATATTTTTTTCACTCATTTTTTTTAAACATCGAAATAAAAACGTTTTTAATCAAAATATGTTCCTCGATTATAATCGAATAATTATTCAGAGATGACTGAAGCGCACCGAGTCACCGAAGAACGGCCGCACCGTAACTAAATTTACGTGCGTCAAACATTCGCAGTGCTTGAAACACGATCAAAAACAAGTAGATTTTTTCGAGAGTGTGTCAGAGCGCATCCGAGCATTTGTGTTGTTATTTTTTTTTTGCTTTTTTCATCGTTTTTCTTTACATTTTTTGTCGGAAGAAAATTTTGTTTCCATATTTTACCTCACTTGACAAAGATTCATTCTTTTCTGTAAAAATTTTGTGTTGAAAAATTCTCAAAATGTCATATTAGATCTAGAAAAGTACCCAAAAGTAATAATTACACCATTAAGCCGATGAGCGAACTGGGTCTTCTAGAAAGTAAACACATTCATTTGTAGAATACGCTACTAAGCGTGCGCTCAGTCATCTCTGCGTTTATTTTATTATCAAATTTTGAATGAAAAACGGATTATGATTTTGGTTGGAAATGCAAACGTATTTTCAGTGCCCATTGTCGATATCAACACGTTTTGACCAAAAAAAAAAAAAAAATTCTATCACTGTCAAAATACCAAACAACCAAATTTGTTCCAACACAACGAAAAATTGTTTGTTTTTTTTTGCGATGAAAAAAATTCGTTGTAATGATTAAAATAAAAACTCTGGTATAGATTCAAGAAAAAGAATCACTAATACCAAGAGACGCATCATGTGTGTAGAATGTAAAGCAATTAAAGCCCCTATGTGTATGCCTCTCAATTCTAATAATTGTTTTCCACTAATTTCTTCTAATTTATGGCTAAATTTCTCGACTAAGTACATGAACTTTGATATACTGAGCCGTGAACATGTGTGCGCAGCCGTTGCTGTTGAGCAACGACTCTTCGTCGTTACACGCACGACACATTGCGCATCTCACTGTAACAAGCGAATGAAGAAATGTATGCACAGCATCGCTTCAATCACGTGTGTAGTACGCTCAGTTAAACGATCAATTTGCACCCGCGGGAAATTTAATTGATTGTCATGTGCATCTATCTATCTATCTATTGAGCTTTAATTACAGTGGGGCTATTTGTCACATGACAATGTGCATTTCAAATAATTCATTCATACAAATAATCGAATGATGATGGTAATAAATATGCAGAGTGATATCCAGCAGAACTATGACATAATTAGATCAAATCAAAATCATTAAATTGAATGTTGTCTCGATCCAGATGGAATGAGTCACATTCGTCTAAATTAAATCAAATAATTATTCACTTGAGATTTCCATGTGATCAACACTGAATGTCATGGTAACTCAGTGCGTCTTCTCTCTAATCAGATGACATTTGGTTGAATGATTGTCCCTAGTTGAAATTATTTTTTTTTTTTGTCGATTTTGATTTGCAGTTGACCTTAACATCAATGCATTTAGACAACTCAATTTTTTTTGTTTGTTCAACTCCATCAATCACGCATCTTGTCACTTCACAGCGATGCATCTCCAAAAGGCAGTGAAATCAGGTTTTCTTCTGTTTAAATGCAGTTTTTTTCTTCTAGACAAATCTTCGTACACTTGAAGTCGAAGTTTCAATTTGACGAGAAATTTTTAAGAAAAAAACCTCAAATTTATTGGGAATGATCTTCAATTTTTTTTTCTAATTTGTTTTTGTTGCTATTTGAGTATCCCCATTTTGGAGAGGTTTTTCGATAGCCGATTACTCAAAAAAAAAATTGTTCCTACATAAAAAAAAGTGAATACACTACATTAAACTACATAAAATCTTCAATTGAAATCGCTCTACCCGAAGTCATTTCGGCAAATCTTCCAAGATTTGAATATTCATCTTTTATTTCAGTTAAAATAATAAAAACATGGAACAAAGTCTATGATATTTTAACTAAATTCATTTTATGATCAATATTGCAGCATTTACATTGGTCCGAGGACAGGATTTTGGATATGAAGGGAAAAAAGGTATTTACCACCAACTAATTGCTAAGGAATTTTATATAAAGAAGATAAATAAATAAATAAATCATTGATATCTTAAAATTTAGGTCCAAGTCATTGGGGTGAACAATATAACACATGTTTTGGAAAATTTCAAAGTCCAATCGACATCGATTCATTGACGGTGAAACATGCCAAATTACCTCCTCTAAAACTCAATGACTCGAATGTTCCACCAGATCAAACAGTCATAAAAAACAATGGACATACAGGTGAGAATTTTGTTTGGTTTTGAAGAAAGAACAGCTTAGATTTTTACAAAATATTTGCGCTATCAAATTTCGTTCCTCTCGCACTAACTGTTCCTCTCTGATGCATCAGCTGTCATTAGTGCGACCGAATGTGTTATATGTTACCGCCAAAATCTCTATCGTGCTTTAGAGAAAATCTGAGAGAACAACCAAAATGCATGTTTAATTCGAAAAGTTCTTGTAAAATTCATCCACTTATCAAGTCTGAAAAAATATTAGAATATCTGTTAATAGGGCACATAGTTCATGAAACACCCGTTCAATTTAAATTTTCGTCTTTCAGATAGTCATAATCGTATACGTTCATTGTACGCAGATATCATTGAATTTAAATTCATTATAAATACAGAAATGAAGTACAATGACTTAGTTCATGATACAGTTGATTCATAATGACAGACCGAAGTTAAACCGTCTCCATTCAAATCCATTTCTGTGCAAATGGAGAAAGAGAGTTTTTAAATTGTGTTTGTCATTCACTATATCATGGTCTGTGACGGATTCTAACGATATTTTCAGTAGTTCCATATAATAATATATGGGCTACTGAAAGTACTAAACAAAATAATGAGGTATTGAATTCCAGTTTTCAGAAATAATTCGCCCCTCGATCATGGCTCATTAGCTTTTTTCATATAAGACAACTTTGTATACTTAAGTTATATGCACTTTGTTTTGGTGCAGCAGCACAATTTCCACAAATCATCCGTAATTATTATTGTTTCAAATTCGTGCCATCAATCTGTGCATCTGGCCACTTTGTAATTATTTTTATTGTAATCAGCTCTTTTTCGAAATGACATTATTGTGATTGGTACACGTGCAAAAACCGCTTTGATACAAATGAATTTTGAATAATCTCGATTGACAAAACAAAACAAATCGTAAAAGATAGCTTTATATACGAAACAAGTCGATTTAGTGAAAAATTACATTTTAGAATTCATAAGTAGTCAAATTGTTTGAGATAGGTAGTTTGGACTTTTTATGATAATGTTGCAATTCGTTCTTCATCATTTTCAATTTCACTTTGAGATATCAGAATAAAGTTTACAATTTATCGTAACTTTAACTAATTATTTTAAGCTTAAAAGGCTTTAACAAAGTATTTAGCTTGAAAATCAAACATTTCTTCGTAATTTTAACTAAATTTCCTTGATTTTGCTTGATTTTCTGTGTTTTTTTCCTGACTTTGTCTTAAACGCAGTGATGGTGTCAATTGAGGCCGATCAACGACCAACAATCACCGGTGGCCCATTGGGTGGGACTTATGAATTTGCTCAGCTTCATTTTCACTGGGGTGAAAATGATACAATGGGTAGCGAAGACTCAATCGATGGTCACAGGCAAGAATTATTTCTTGTTTAAAAACGATTGAACTACTCAATCTGTATCTCTTCCTATCAACTGTTCAATTCATTCAAATTTGCTCCATTTCCAGTTTTCCAATGGAACTGCACATGGTATTTTACAAAAAACAATATCGAAATATTCGTTCAGCAATGGAGAATTCCGATGGCTTGGCTGTGCTCGCATTCTTTTTCAATGTAAGCCGAATATTCAACGAATACTATCAAAATGTTGATTATTTTTTGAATTTTGTTTTTTATTTCTTAGTTGGACGACAAAGATAATCCCAATTATATTGAAATAACGGAACTTTTGTCGAATGTTTCGGAACCAGAAACGTCAGCACCGTTCACTCGTTTGAATTCAATTCAGGATTTGATATTGAGCGATCTCGATGAGTATTACACATACCATGGATCGTTAACTACGCCACCGTGCAGTGAAGTTGTGACATGGATCGATTTCAAACAATCAATTCCGCTGTCTCATGCTCAGGTAACCAATTTGCTCGCATATTATCATATCATTATGAAATCGAAACAAAAATAGACTCGAATAACGAGAAGCAAACATTTCCACTCCAGACTGAACGACTCGAAGTGTGATTACTAATGTCTTGTTAGCTCTATTCATTAGGGAGCACGCGTGGAATGAAAATCACGTCAAAATGATGTGTTTGTTTGGATTCTTTTTGGAAAGTTTTCTTGCGCTATTTGGTTTGGTTCTACTATTTGTTCCTTATTTAGCTTATGATTTAACACATCAGTGATATTGACTCTTTTCCATGGGCTCAAATCGCACCTGTTCTTACGCATATATTTCATGACGGTAGTTTTATTGCAATTAAATCAGATTCTGTGTATAACAGCCGGTAATAGAGCTGCCCATTGGTTCATGTTCGTTCAAGTTCGTTCAAGTTCGTTCAGTTTTAAATAAACATGAATTGAACGTTTCATGGATTGAACCATCAAATTGAAAACCGAACGAACATGAACAGATATTTTCGTTTTTGAACATTTTGAACTGAACACGAACAAACTCGAACACATTTCGATCATGATCGAAACAGATATGAATTTGAGTGCATGATTTTGTACCCTAGTACGGAATTCCGTTTTCATACAAAGGACGCGCTCTTTGTATATACAATTGTTCAAAGCAATTGAACATCAAACTTTTGAACAATTTGAACTGAACTTTAGTTTGCTGCTAGTCGCTAAGTATATCCATTATCCACTAGTGCCACAGTTCACCATTAGCTCATATCTTATGTATGCTGAGCTGTGTTAATTACACAAATGAAAAGTTTCATATTTTCATTCATGTTTGTCAATAAATTTGTTCAATTGATGGATGAAAAGCCTAATTTTTAGTTGTTATTTTCGCTGGTTTTCATTCAACTGGATCTATTTGTCTTCTACCACTTTAGATTGAGTTATTTCGAACAATACAAGACAACGAGGGACATCATTTAACGCATAATTTCCGGCCAATTCAGCCATTGGGAGGACGAGATGTGTATTTTGTTACATCTTTTACGGGAGGAGATAATGATAGCTATGGAGAATTTGAAAAGGATGATACACGCTTAGAGGATCCACCACAAGATTTAACACAAACAAATTCGGATTACAAACAAAGTACTTTAATGGAAACAACAACATATCGAACGGTGACGAATGACAATGAAATCGATCGAAAACCAGTACACGAACAAGATCACAATGAACTGGTTGAACCAACCACAATTGATCACAGAAATGTTCATAAACCGGGTAGAAATATTGCAAGCGATTGTCGAACGTCAACACTTTGGCTAATTATTAGCCTACATTGCATTGTCTCGATCATTTATAGCGTGAACATTTATTGAGTTTAGTTTCAATTTTTTTTTGTATCTGTCACAATTTATTTGTATTGGTGCATTTATCGAGTTTTTTATTTTGAAACCATTTTCCTCCCTTATTTTGATGTGACACTGTTCTCATCTTAAATTTTAAAAGCCAAACTATGAACAAAAGCAGCCGTACTTAAAATGCCAACGCTCAGATTGTGTGAGTCGAAAAGGGAGCGCGCTAGAACAGTATTGCAGAAGAAATAATAAATTGGCTTGATAATAAGGTCTTCATATTTACACTTGAAATGAATCGCATTTGAAGGAAATGCTTCTTGGCTAGGGGAATGACACGTTTAGTTTTAATTCAATTTCGAATATCTGCAGATATCTACATCTATTTAAAACAAATTTCTGTGCAAAATATTGGCAAATATGATAAATACTGAAAATTATGGTAAATCTTCGTAAATACGAGTGATCGAAAGATTCAGATCGAAATGATAGCCGATCATTTTGGATTCATTTTAAATATTTGCAAAATTCAAATAAATAGTTGCAAAAATCCAGACGGTGGGTGCAAGAGCATTATACCACTAGCGATCGCAGTGATAGTAATGTGTAAAGCTTTGATAGCAAACTTCTCATAACTAAAAAGTAAAAGTTTTGTCCGTAAGAAGTCATGGAAATCCATGAAAAAGGCAAAAATATCTGTTTTGTCGTTGTGGCGGACACCGAGGTGTCAGTAAATGCGACAGATTCCAAATGTTAATGTCAAGGTCAATTTCAATTTTCTAATATCTCAGTGTTATTTTAACCGCCGCAAAAACGAAACATCATTTTCCTTTTTTTGGTGGATTGGACCACTTTCAATGACCTATCGCGGACAAACGTTTCTTTTGGTTTTCTGTGAGTTCATGTATATACAAACACAAGAGGACATTACTATTGCCGTATGGAAAAAAATCTATATAATTTGGTGTTTAATTCAAATATTCGCTATATTGCCTAAAAAACGAGCGTTCACCCCCTAGCTTCCATGTATAAATATGATGACCAATTTTTCGTTGATAGTCTTATCGTTTCGTTTGAAAGTGACGATTTGAGTATACATACTGTAAGAAATGCACCAAAATGGATTTCAAATTCATTCAATTCTTTTAATTATTTTTAGATCTATAAGCTAGTATCAAGTTCTTATTTATTCTGTTGTACCCGTTGTAAGTGGTAAGCCTGTGCATTTTATTGAATCCAGAATTAAATTGAATTCTGCAACAACGGTCAAAAATTGAAAGCTGCTAACTTGAAAATTTGAAATTTGGTTAAAAAAAAAAACAAGAAATTTTGAAATGTTAAATTCTGAATTTAATTAAATGCACTTTTACAAGGGGCATTAGTTAGTTTTGAAGAAATGAGTTAACACTATTACTACCGACATATCAGAGTAGATATTTAAGAAATGTGACTTTTCCAAACCTTCTAGTGCATTAATTTTTCCGAGAACTGAGAGTACTGGTTCTAGATTGATTTCGGGCTATAGATAACGGAGAAAAATATATTCAAACTGCTGGGTTACCGATGGTTCATTCAGGAAATGCGATAGACATAAATAAAAAACGAACAATTTGTTTTGAAGTGACAAAAATGTGTCTAAAATTGGACTTTTCAAATGAATATTTTAATAGAACTTGTTGCAGAATTTGTCTCAAGATCGCGTTCCTGACTTCTTCAATATATTGATTATATGGTTTTCTTGGGGTGCATTCATCTGTTAATTTGGATTTGAGAATTTGTCGGGCATGAATTTCTTCCGAGCGTCCAACAAGTTCTTTCTGGTTTTCGCACATGTTTATAACTAATTAACCGGCTGTCTTAGACTAAAAGTATGAACGTAGATAACAAAGAGCAAATGCCTGATGAATAAAATTGTAGTTTGAACCATTGTGATCCGACGTATACTTCACATTTTGCAACCGCTAAAATGTTGCCCGTCGATTGTATGCACTACAGGGTTAAATTGGATTAGAAAACATCGTTTCTTCGTCAAACTGGGCATTACATAATCTTTTTATGCACGCATTTGATTTCTTTTGAACAATGTAAATTATTCAATTTAAGCGTAGGACTGACTACCAAACAGGGACTATATGGCCCCAATGTTGCAAAAAAAAAGAATCAAAATTTTCTGTATTAAGATCGATTTCTATTTGAAGAATAAAAGGTTAAGACGTCTCTGACAAAATACAACAAGTTGTTCTGAAATCTACTTTCTGACAAAAAATCACAAATATTGTTGCCTTTGATTAATTTAATTATTTAATATCACTGTCCAACGCGTGTTTTTATTTACTTGTCACAAGTGCCGGACTGGTACCACGCGATAGTTTAGGTCGCCTTGAGTTCAAGATGGGCCATCGTTTTGCATTCTGCTCATTGGTGAAAAGTTATGACCTCCGCCGTTTTGACATTTTCGCAGGAACGAATTTCTTATACTCTAAACATCATACACACTTCTATGGAAGTCTATGCATAGATTTTTGGGTCAAAACCATCAAAATTAACGGTGGAATTGCATTAAATAGGTCTTGTCGAACGCGTCATATGATGATCTTTCAGCGTAAAAAAGAACACAAGTGAAAGGCGATATTCACGGAGGTATTCAAAGTGTTATTATTGAATACTTTTGTTTAGAACAAAGAAAATGCAATGTATTTCATTGTTCTCGTATTTTGCAGATCACAAAGAGATCGCTCAACTTCGATTCGAAAAAGGAGTCGATATTCACGCAAAGAACGATGCTGGATGAACACCTATTGATACAGTTCTCACCATAATTATCTTATGAGTTACCTCAAACCTAAGTTTCATGCAACGTTTTTTAATTGACTGCCGACGATCCATTGAACAATGACACCATCGATGAAACTATGGCACCGGTGTCAGAAACGTGCCCACACGCAATAAAAAATTTCTCAACAAGTGACGATAAAACTAAATACAATAAAAATGAAAATTACCAGTGGTCATTGACCACAAAACTTATTGATGCATTCACATGTTTAACTTTGATAGTTTTCTTCATCTTCTCTTAAATTGAATAATTTCGTTATTGGCGGATTTTAGCATGTCTTGAAATTATCTCTTGGCTAAAGGTAAGCTCTTCTATGATCTCCAGCAAGTAAGTACCGATCAATCCCTTGATCTTGATACGACGGTGGAATTTCGTTGATGAAGAACTTTTGCTGAGTGCTTTTTCTCAATTGATTTTGGTGCCGTTCTCGGAATTGTTTTGAGCTATTGGAATGTTAAATTCCTCAATTTGTAGGTAATAGCAATTGCTTTCGATCCCGCCTGACCGATTTGTGATATTTAATCTTGTTTCATAGCCACGCACCATTGAAAACGACTCCAAGAATTTATATGAGTAACTTTTGATGAGTGGTTTTTGTTAACTGATTTTCGTGTCGTTCTTGGAATTGCTCCTTGGAATTCTATATGTTTTTATGTGAACATTACCTAATTTGTGGAAAACAGACACATCGTGACAGGATTTTACCGAGGAACTTTGCAACTTCCTTCAGCCAGATCTTGGCTTGTGTTAAATAAAAAAATAAATAGATGCATACGATACAGATCTGTGATCATTCTCGAAAAAGTAATAATAAATACTAATTATATAATAAACTAATTTGTAAACATTCACTCAATTTATTTCAAAACTACGCGGAATAAATTACAAAGAACTCTTTCTATTTACCATTTGTTTCTTGACTCTCTGTGAAGAAAAGGTAGACATTTGTCATGAATCCAAATTCATTTTTCGAAATATTTTTAACAAAATTCGAATTTCAGAATGGGAGACGAACTAAACATTCATTCAATCTCTGAAATGGAAATAGTCTGGATGGACGAAGATCGCAATCGATGTGATTGCAAAGAGACATTTTGATTCTTATATTTCGTTGAAAATTCAAACAGTTTGCTTCTGAGCAGCTATGGAGAAATTTTCCTTGATTCGTCATATTTTTGTTGAAATATAATCAAATTAGGATTTGATTTGGTCCAATGTTCAATTATTCATACGTCGTGATCGTGGATGCGATAAATTCATTTTGTTGGGCAATAATATTGTAAAGTCCAACTTGAATCTTATTGGATTTTTTTTACATTTCCCACAACGTACCGAATGTACTAAGTGCTTATTGAAATGCTCATTGAAATGAACACGCTCGTTCGGAATGAACATCGAAGGATCGAATGTGAGTGTGAGATACATTTATAATTGGCGTATGATGACAAATTGTGTGCCGACTGGCAACTGAGCTATTCGTTGACATTCATGATAATTGCTACAATTTGGCTGAAATTGAATTAGGAATGGATTTCATTACGAATTTAAGCCGATAAAGTATGCAAATCGAATGAATTTCGTGGCTTGCACAAACATTTGAAATGACATAGAGCCACTCTGAACCATTCATTCATCTATCGAGTATCATTATCCAATCAACAATCCATCGGGAAAAGATTTTGAATTGAGGAATTTCGAATGCTATGAAACTGTAATATTATCCAAAAAAACGTACGAACTCGATCAGAACGCATCCGAGGGGATCGTTGATGTAACACATTTACCAAAGAAGCTTTTGTTTCATTCATAAGCCAAGAGGAAAGTGCTGCAAAAATAAACTCTGGAATCAAAGTCCAAACTCTCTTCTTTTTCTGTTTACATTTCAATTTATTTCTGTTTTATTTGATGGAAAAATGAAGCTTAAATCTAAGGGGGTGGTCATGAAGTTTATATAATGGGAAAAATATCAAATGTTATTTGGATATCATTTCAAATTCTTGAAATAAAGTCTCTGAAGTGTGTCAACCTATGAATTCAATCAATTGTAGAGACCATGAGTTATTGTTTCGATTCGGCTATGGTTTATTGTTAAATCTATGGGCTGCGCGACTTATTTCTTCTTCTTCAAACGGTGAACTGTTTTCATGTGTTTATCGGCATTACTTTTAGTGGTAAAGCTTGCTGCACACATTTCGCATTGAATCCTCTCGCCGGTGTGATCTTTTCGCATGTGAATCTTCAAGTATTTTTTGTCTCGGCGATACTTCTTGCATAAATGGCATTGATAATGACGGTGGCCACCTCTTTTGCATCTTCGGTTGCGTATCCTCCGAAGCACTTCGAGCATTGGAATGGGAATTGGTCACTGTGTGCTGTTGACAAGTGCCGATTTAATTGAATCTGTTCGACGAATTGTTCGCTGCAAATTCCACATTCGATCGATCTTTTGGCTTCGTGTTTTGATTGCATGTGCCGCTTGAAAGTAGTCTTGTAGACAGTTTTGTAATGACACTGATTACATGCGAAGGGACTTCGTTGGCAGCGTGTTTCGTGTGCTTGCTTATCGTCTGGAGTGGCAAATCGTCGGCCACAATTCGCACAAGCATTTGGCGGTCCTCCGATGTGAGTCATCGAATGAGTTCGGAGATTTGTGTTGGTTGTGAACGATCTGAAACAAATTGAGCACTCGAACGGCTTTTCTCCTGAGTGAATCCGCATATGCGCTGTTAAATTTGGTTTGTGCAATGCTCCATATCCGCAAATATCGCATTCGAATTGACATGGGTTGCACAACGCTTCGTGGTCGATCTTGACTGATTCTTGCTCAAATCCTTGATTACATTTTGAACAACGAAATTGACCATGCGTTTTCTTATGACGGTTCAGATTACTCCTTTGTGCAAAGGACTTCGAACAAACATCACACTGATACGGCTTCTCTCCAGTGTGAGTTCGCAAGTGTGCCAGGAGGTGAAACTTTCGATCTGCTACATGATTGCACACATGGCATTTGTGCTTCTTTTGTTTTATGGCCGCTTGATTCCTAGGATTCGCTCGTCTGTTTCGGCTTTTGGAGCTTCTTCCATTCTGTTCCTTCTTGTGGTCGACTGGTTGCGGTTGTTGTACATCGATTGTGTCATCCGTTGGCTCCTCGTTGTCATCGGCCATGGCGGCAGCGCCCTCATTCGATCGTTCACATGGTGTCGAGTCCTCTTCTTTGCCCGTCTCTTCTTCTTCACATTTGATTTCATCCTTTACCTCATCGAAGTCATAGCCAAAGTCGAACGGTCCTTCATAATTCGCACGATATCTTCCATCAACTCGTGGCCGTGGTATATCTATGACATTGTCACGTTCGCTGGGCTCTTCCTTAATACCAGGCTCTTGCTTTACTTCAATATTTGTGCACTTTGACTTGCGCTTGCTGCGTACACCAGACACAACTTTGAATGGGCCCATTTTCTGTTCAGGAAAAACAATATCAAGAATCAAAATTTAAATCAAGTATTTAAAACTAAAAAAATTGCAAAAAGTGATTCAATTAAACTCAAACCACGTGCTTGATGCGTCGATGCATAGAAAAAGTACGCATAACATGCGCACTCAACACATCCGCTCATAACTTGGGTTATGTTCTACCAATTTTCATGAGCATCGATTGATTTTCATGAAATTGACAAATCCACTTTTACCACCGAATCAAAAAATTTGAAATTTCATATTAAAAAAATGCCATCCAAATAAATGAAATATGTCCAACTCTTACGTTTGTCGTCGATTTTTTTCTGCTGGAAATATTTTTTGTATCGCGTATCTTCCAATATGTCTGCCTCACTTGTTGGTTGACTGAATAATGGTCAACTCAGAACAGCGTACAGTCTGTAAGCTATAACATCAATGGCTAGAACTTTTACACTCACAAGCGTTTTATTTGTATTGGTGTGTTTCGTTAAGTTCTCAACGAGGCCCAGGGTATACACCTCATTTCAATCTTAATAACGACCATGCATTCGAAATAGAAATAACATTTACCATTTTCCAACATAAAAATACATTATTACCGCCTTAGATTTAAGTTCCCACTTCAAATGAAACAGAACAGAAACATATTGAAACCGAAATGAAAAGAAAAAGAGGAAGAAGAATGTCGCTTTCAATTTCTTGGTTTATTTTTGCAGCAATTTCCTTGGCCAAAGAAAGAAAGAAATGCGTTTTGGAAAATTTGTCATCATGGCCAAAGCAACTCTGCACTGCACATCTAGTTAGTAAGTTTTTATCATAAAGTTCCAGCTCCAAAGTATGTCGTTCACAATTGCAATAATCCAAATATTCGATTTGAACTGATTTCAAATTTCTTGTCCATTTGCTCAAGTCATTGCCGACACTTCGGAAAATCTCACACTACAGACTCCAGATATTTTCAATTAGAAATAAAAACATGTTCTTCTAATGCGACTCTTGTTCAATCCACATGATTTTCCGCCATAAAAGCATCTTCCATGGAATGCGTCACTTATTTCTTCTTCGAACGGTGTACTGTTTTCATGTGTTGATTAGTATCACCTTTACGTGTAAAGCTTGCTCCACACACTTTGCAATGAATCCGCTCGCCGGTGTGGTCTCTTCGCATGTGTGTTTTCAAATGATGTTTGTCTCGACGATGCTCGTTACACAAATGGCATTCATACTGACGCTGGCCACAGCTATCTTCATGAACCTCTTTTGCATCTTCGGTTGCGTATCCTCCGAAGCACTTGGAGCATTGGAATGGGAATCGGTCGCTGTGTGCTGATGACAAATGTTGGTTCAATTTAATCTTGCGAACAGTTTTGTAATGACACTGCTTACATGCGAAAAGACTTCGTTGGCAGCGCGTTTCGTGTGATTGCTTGTCTGCTGGAGTGGCAAATCGTCGGTCACATTTGGAACAGGCATTGGGCAGTTCATCTTTGTGAGTCATCGAATGAATTTGGAGATTAGCGTTGCTCGTTAATGACTTGTAACAAATTAAGCAAACGAACGGCTTTACTCCAATTTGAATCCGCATATGAACTGTCAAACTTGATTTCAGCACAGTGTGATATCCGCAAATATCACATTCGAATCGAAGAGCATTACATAACACTTCGTGTTCGGTCTTGACTGATTCTTGTTCAAACCCTTGATTACATTTTGAACAACGAAATTGACCATGCGTTTTCTTATGACGGTTCAGATTACTCCTTTGTGCAAAGGACCTCAAACAAACGTCACACTGATACGGCTTTTCCCCAGTGTGAGTTCGTAAGTGTACTTTTAGGTGAGACTTGAAATCTGTAACATGATTGCACACATGACATTTATGCTTCTTTTGCTTTTTGGCCGCTTCATTCCTGGGAATCGTTTGTTTGTTTCGTCTTTTGGAGCTTCCATTCCGTTTCTTCCCTCTGCCAACTGGCGGTGGTTGAACATCGGTTGCGTCATCCATCAAGTCTTCGTTGCCA